AGATCCAAAGCCCTTTGACTGAAGAAGTGACCTAGTCCCCAGGAGGAAGGACTGTGAGTCAGCAGGAAGTATTTATTATGACAACTCTTTTCTTCCTTCTCTAAAGGGACCTAAGGCCATTTATTTAGGGGAATATATACGAGGGAAAATTAATCCTCGTCTTATTTAGGAATGTTCAAAACAGGATCTGTGTTGATACCCAAAGAATCATTATGGCACCCCTATATGAGCAACGACTTACGGAGAACACATAATAAACAGAGTTCAGGCCACGGTCCAGTTTCTAGTGACTCTGTTGGCTCTGTGGATCCACCAGTGGTCATTCCTTGTTCTCAAGCATGTAACTGGAATTGGGTGGTGAGCAGCTGGATCTCCCCAGCCACTACTACATTGGGGCTATGGTTGCTGGGATAAGAGTTATCATACTGAAAAGACCAAGTGGAAGGCTCTTGATCTCCCTGATTAAGACAGAAAATCAAAAACACTATGATTAGATCTGACACCAAAGCACAAGCAACAAAATAAAAAGCAGACAAATTGTACATCATCAAGATTAAAACTTTGGTGTTTCAAAGGACACTATCAATAAAGGAAAAAAACCACTCATAGAACGGGGGAAAATTCTGCAAATCATGTTTCTGACAAGGGACTTGTATCTAGAAGACAGATGGGGCTGGATAGATAGATAGATCTATGATGACTCAATTAAAAAACCCATAAAATAGGCAAAAGATGTGAACAGACATTTTTCAAAAGAAGACAGATTCCTAGCCAATAAGCACAAGAAAAGGCATTCAACACTGCTGGCCATCAGGCAAATGCAAATGGAAACCAAAATCAGATTCCACTTCAGAAGGCTGCAGTCAGAAAGACAAGAGTCGTAAGGAGGGTTGGCAGGGGTGCGGAAAAATCGGGACTTTCACATACTGGTACAGTCACTTCAGAAAACAGTTCGGCAGTTCCTCAAATGGTTAAAAGTAGGATTTACCATATGATCCAGCAATTCCACTCCTAAATTTATACCTAAGAAAATGAAAGCATGTCCTCATAAAACCTGTATGTAAAGAGTCACAACAGTCAAAAACTGGGAACAACCAGGTATTCATCAAAAGATTCATAAATGAAATGCTTTAATATGTGCAATAGAATGTATTTCGCATTAAAAGGAAATCAAGTGTTGATACTTGAAATACTTGAAAATGCTATGCTAAGCAAATGAAGCCATACACATCTTAAACGACACCATTGTATTATGTATATGACATATGATACTGTTTATCTGAAATCCATAGAACAGGCAAAAAGTAGACTAGAAGTTGCCTGGGGAGAGAACACGCACTGGGGAAAATGCTAGTGGGTATGGGGTTTCTTTAGCGGGTGATGAAATGTTCCAAAATTGATTTTGGTGATGGTTGCACAACTCTGGAACTACATTAAAAACCACTGACTTGCATACTCTGAGTGAGTGAATTATACGTTATTATTTCTTAATAAGGCTGCTTAAAACAAGCAAACTAAGCAGTGGTATATCAGAGATTACTGCCATCACTAAAGACTGAAAGGACACAAGTGTGGTTCCTATTTAATCTCCAGGCTGGTCCCTGCAGAAACCTGACAGATCCTGGATATAAGGAGTCCACAGAACCCAGGCAGTAATCGGAGCTGTGGTTCCATGAGGCCCTTGCTGTATCCCTGGGAGTATTCGATCGTTGAGGACTTGAACCTCAGAGTTCAGAGTTGGAGGGATAGGAAGCAAAAAGTCCTTGAAGGGGACATTGGGAATAATGGTACACTGGGCCATTACTGCCTCCCTCCTTTGTTCTTGGACCATGTAACTTCCTGTTAGGAACCCAGCCTCATACTGAAGTCTCTGATTCAATGAGTTCATTGTACCTCACAAGAATGGTACATCTTGTACCCTACCCCATATCTTTGCAGAGAACTAGCTCTAAAATGGGATTCAGGTGTGCCTCAGTAGGTCACTCCCGTGGCTATGAGTCTGCTTGCTCTGGACAGTGTGGTAGGGATGTGATTAACAGAGACCCCACGGCCACAGGCTCCTTCTACATGTCCTCCATGAACTGGGCTCCCTGCAAGGATGAGTCCTTGAGTGGGATCAGGTATTTTCAGGCCCTCACATGTTGTGCTGCCTGAAATTCTGTAGATAGGAAAGGGAAACACATACCAAGATGAGGAAATCTATCCATGGCCAAATTTTTGGCCCTTTCAGAATGGACTCAGTTTAGTGAACTTACCACAAAGTGGCTACGATCATGAGAGTTAATGACATGCAGCTTTATTTTCTTACTGTCATGGTATCAGAGTAATGCTGGATTCATGAGTGAACTGCAACATTCTCCCTCCTCTTCTAGCTTTGGTAAGACATTGTGCAGAACTGAAGTCATTTATTCCATAAATGTATGATAGAATTCAACAGCGGAACTACCTGGGCTTGAATTTTTCTTTGTTGAGTGTTTTAACTTCAAATTCAATTTCAAGAGATATAGGTCTGTTCAGACAATCTATAAGTAAATATTGGTTCCATGTGTCTTTAAAGTAATTGGTCCATTTCATCTAAGTTTATGGCCACAGAGTTGTTAATGGTATCCCTTATTATCAATTTGGTATTTGTAGGTTCTACGTGATGCTTTTAGTTTGATTTTCAGATAGGGTCTCACACTTGTGCCCAGCTGGCCTCAGACCATGATCCTCCCACCTTCACCTCCTGAGCAGCTGGGATTACAGATGTTCCTGCTCTCCCTCCTATCTATCTCCCTTCCTCCCTCTTTCCTTTCTTTTTTTTTGGCAGTACTGGGAATTGAACCAAGGGCCTCACCACTTGAGCCACACACCAGTCTCTTTGCTTTTAGTCTGTAGTGCTTTTTTTTTTTCTTTTCAGATAGGGTCTCTCTAAGTTGCTCAGGCTACCCAGGTTCACTTAAACCTGTCACCAGAGAGCTGGGAGCAGCAGTGCATACCACTGTGCCTGCCTTCTGATATCCGTCTTTCTGCCTGGTAATTTTCCTTTTTCTGAAGTCTACTTTGTCCAACAATAACAGAGCTGCTTTGGTTTCTTTTGCGTATTTTTTACATGTGTATCTTTTTGGTCTGTCTACTTCATTATATTTAAGTAGGCTTTTTCTACCTTTTTTGGAGTACAAATGACAAATTAAAATGCATATAATCAAGGTGTCCACTGATGATTTGATATACGTATACTTTATGAAATGATTACTAGAATCACTGAACTTCTGCACCCATGGACTAGCATCTCCTCACCTCCATTCCCGGCTGTACAGTTGTTTACTCCCCTATTACAGTCTCCTGGCTAAAACTGGAAGTGTCCATGTGGATTTAAAACAAAAAAACCCTTGAGAAACAAAACGGCAATAACTAAATACTTCTTTAGAACAATAAATAAATGCTATCTGTCTAATGCAGAGACAGGTTAGATACATTCTGTTTAAAACTGGGAAAAAGACAAATAGACTTCATTGTTAATGACTGAACATACGTGACAGGGCAAACCAATGACACTGAGAAAAGAATAAGATGCACAAAGAAAATGTCAATACATTGAAAACACATATTTCTGAGTAAAATGCAATAAAACAGGTCAAATAATAATAAAAGTTTAAGCAAATAAAAAATTCAACCACTTGGGAGGAATTCTGAAACTCTCTCTTAAGCAATATATGTGCCAAAAAACAATCAAAACCAGACGTTATCAAATCTGGAAGGCACCCTGGTGAAAGAGTAAAACAGAAATGTAGTTTCATTTTTCTCCATGTGACTATTTAATCAACTCAATACCATTTCCTCAAGAATTCCAAATTTTCAATGTGACTTAAAAAGCTGGGTTTATGACATATAAAAAGAAAGTAAACGAGTGCTTTCTCAAGACAAATAAATAAGCAATCAACCAGAAGCACCCTTGTTGGAGCTGCTGTCTGGATCTTCAGTGACACCTTTGCTTCAGTAATTTCTTCCCTTCTAATTCAGTTTATCACAACTGAACAAACACAAACCTCCAAATGCACAAGACAAATGAGTAGCTTCTTTTTTTCCTCTCTGAACCCAAACCATGGAAGCCTCCAGAAAGGTTGGAGTTTCAGCTATGTCCAACACACCAAGAACGTGAGTAAGATAGGGTTAGATGAACCGGGTAACATGGAAGTCCCCGGTGTGAACTGGGTCAGAGTGGGTCAGTGGAATGCACTGGGAATCAGAAATGAAAAAGGCAGACAAGTCTCTCCAGAATGTCAGTCATTCATTCAGGGGAACAGAGACAGGAGCCAACAGCCAATGGGAAGGCGAGGTAAGAGGGACATTTAAAAGAGGACACCAGTGGGATTAATCCAGAATTACTGTATGCATTTCTACCACTGCTGGGTGGCAGATGGTCAGGCAGCAGTAAGGTCTAGGACAGACAGACATGACAACAGTCAGTATGAGGGGCCTCCTGAGGGGCCAGAAACAACTACTGACTGGAGTTTGCTCTCACGGAGGGAGGTGGGGAGAGATGAGAAGGCAGAAGGTCAAGAAAAGTGTGTATGAAGACATGCACCGTGTATCATAAACCTCTCTTGCCTGACTCAGTCTACTCAGTAAGTGACTGGGGAGATACAAATATTAAATCACATAAGAAAAAACACCAAAGTCGGCTAATTTGGAACAAGACTATTGTAAGTCTCAGTATTACTAGAATAAGGTAATTCCAGTTTTCCTATTGTCTTTAAAACTCCATTACCTTACATTTGTTTTGTTGTTTTGTTTTTGAAGGGTCAGTACTGGGGGATTTGAACTCAGGACCTTACACTTCCCATGCAAGCACTCTACCACTCGAGCCACATCCCCAGCCCTTAAAGTTGTTTTTCACAATAGAAAAAAAACGGTTTCTGGGCCATGTCGTCATGGGGGATACCTAATTTTAGCTCTTTCTAAAAATTTAAAACTCTAGGCAAATTCTAATGTATATTTTAGAATATTATAAATGAGAGTTTACAATTCTAACCTACAGTAAAATCTTTTTCTGTTATAATAAAATAAAATTCATACTTACTCTGAATAGTATTTCTTCATTCCACTTTGGATTCAAAGACTAAAAGATAATAAACATAGTATAACTAATTTTTTATAGTTTGTCATATAAAAAATAGAGCTCATTAAATTTTTTGAATACTGCTAAATCTAACCTTTTTAATGGTTTTTGTTTGCACACTTGTAAAAACTCCATTCATCGGGTCATATAACGTCACTCTCACGTAAGGATCACTGTTAAAATTTAAAAAGAAGGAAAAAGTTTTGATTATTGCTTAGCTCAACTTCAGACTACCCAAATATCAGACTTTTCCTTATTAAAAAGTTCAACAATTATTTCCTACACCTAAAAGTCAGTGTTCTGCAGTAGGGTAAGCAACTGTAGTAATTTTTACATCCTGTGAAAGTTATACCTAGTTGGGCACTGTGGTGCACACCTCTAATCCCAGCATTTGGGAGGTTGAGGTAGGAGGATCAAGACTTCCAGGCCAGTCTGGCTTACTTATAAGGAGACCCTGTCTCAAAAAAAAAGAAAGGAGGGAAGAGGATGGAAGGGGAGAGGAGGGGAAGGGAGAGGAGAGGAGAGGAGGGGAGGGGAGGGGAGGGGAGGCTTAAGCACCATGTTAGTAAAATAGACAAAGAATTAGATGAAAACCTAGGTCTAGTGATTTACAACCTTTTTAGATTTTTTAATTTTCATCTGACTTTTAGTATATTCTCTTTCTTTTGAGTGAAGGTGGTTAATTCACATTTCTAAGACTTGTTTTCCAATACCTCAGCTTGTTGCAAACTATCTCATGGGTGTAAACTCTTCTTATAATTTTATAAGAACTTTAGAACACTTTTGCTTGCAGTTAAAAACAATTCCATGTCATATAGCCCATTCTTAAAAGGAGACATGGAGAAGGAAAACCTTGTGACACAGGTTTGCACAACACAAGACTCTGGACATTGGACTTGTCCACAGTCAAATCTCCCCCCTTCCCTCTGGGTGTCCAAGTACTCACTATTCTCCACCACTCCCTCCCTCCCCTCATTTCCTCAGATGCCCCATCTCTTACTTTAATTCACAAAAACCAGAGCTACTGGATCACTCCCATATATCATTTATCAGACCCATCCTTACCCCTTAGCTCAGAGACCCCCGGAGTCCTCCTGTTTGAGGCCAGGCCCCTTCACCAGCGTCCTCCAGCTCAGTCACTGCTCTCTTGTGTCTCAGCTTTTCTTTGCCTAGGTTTCCCTCAGGATATAAATATATTTTTAGCCCCACCCCCATCCTGACCCTCCCTTCTCTAGCAAAGCAGAGAAAGTTTTTCTCTCCTTCTCAAGCTTTACAAGGGAATAATTGGCATTAATAAGACAACAACTCATGGCAATTACTCTGTACCAGGCACTGGTCAACAGCTTATCTATTAGCTCGGAATCTCAACAGGCTTTATTTTTTTCTCTTTTTGAACAGATCACAGCTGCTGCATGGAGGAGCTGGGGCTATACCTCCAGCACCTGGCTCCCAGTCAACCCCTAACCACTACGCACACCACCTGCTTTTCTCATTTCTCTAACTCCCATTGCTCTTCAGAACCATGAAATCTGGTTTTTGTCTCTGGCCCCAGGACCTCATCCTCTGAAAATGCTCTTGAAAAGTCACCAGTCTTGCTAAAATAATCAACACCTTACCTTGTAGGCGTTAGTTTTTGACCTCTCTGTAGTCACACTTACTGCTATCTTTTTTTTTCTTTTTTTGCAGTACTGAGGTTTGAACTCAGGGCCTTCACCTTGAGCCACTCCACCAGCCCAATTTTTTGTGAAGGGTTTTTTCAAGATAGGGTCTCGCAAACTATTTGCCCAGGTTGGCTTTGAACCTCAATCCTCCTGATCTCTGCTTCCTGAGTAGCCAGGATTGCAGGCGTGAGCCCCCTAACCCCAGCACCCGGCCTGACATCTTTTCTTTGACACACCCACCTCATTTAGCTTTCATGGCACAGCTAGCTCCTCAGGTCTCCTCATACCATTCTCAGTCTTTCTGAAGCTCCCCTTCACTGTCTTGTTGGTTTCATACGGAAGCTTTGCCCTGGACCCCTGTTCACTCTACATTTCTCCTTTCCAATCTCATCTACAGTTTTTTACAACTAACTCTATACTACCAAATATAACATAAATATAAAATGTAAATATCTCTAATCTCACCATTCAGCTAAACACTTCCACCTGGACATTCCACAAACAATGCCTGTTCAGCACTTTTGCCCATTTTAAATTATTTCTTTAATCATACTATTACTGGAGTGTAACAAGTCTTTGTATATTGCAGATTAAAGGGCTTTGTCAGCTACATGCTTGGTTTTGTTTTATTGTGGGAAGAACAGTTAACATTGAGATCCACGCTGTTAGATTTTTAGCGTACAAACCATTACTGTCAACAACAGGCACATGGCTGTATGGAAGATCTCAACTAGCACTCTGTGTTCTTAACCAGTAACTCCCCAACCCACCCAACCCAACGACCACCATTCAACCACTCTGTGATTCTATGAATTTGACCATTTTTTATGCCTCATATAGGTGGAATCATGCACTATTTGTCTTTCTGTGCCTGGCTTACTGCATTTGATGTCCTCAAGGTTCATCCATGCTGTTGCATATGGCAGAACTTCCTTCATTTTCTAAAGGTGAATAATATTCTGTAGTATTACATACCACATTTTCTTTATTCTCTCATCTATTAATGGACACTTCAGTTATTTCCAGACATATGTTTGAAAATATTTTCTCCAATCTGTCTTTTTTTTCTCTGTGGTACTGGGGCTTGAACTCAGGGTCTACACCTTGAGCCACTCCACCAGCCCTTTTTGTGATGGGTTATTTCGAGATAGGGTCTTGCAAACTATTTTCCTGGGCTGGCTTTGAGCCATGATCCTCCTGATCTCTGTCTCCTGAGTAGCTAGGATTACAGGCGTGAGCCACCGGCACCCGTTTCCAATCTCAAAAAACAAAAATTTAATGATGAAGTCCATTTTAACATTTTTTCAATTTTTATCATTCATGCTTCTTGGGTACTATTTTAAAAATCTTTGTATAACCCAATAGGACAGAGTCTTGTCCTATAGGCTCTTCTGGAAGTTCTATGGTTTTAGCTTTTACTAAATTTCTGTATGAGGTATAATAAGGTTTGCTTTGTTCTATCCAGACCAGTGTAGTATGCACAGAAAAGACTTCCTTTCCCTTTGAATTACCTTAGCATTTTTGTTGAGAAGCAACTAATACATATGTGTGGTGTGTGTATGTGTAGATATAGACATATGTAGATACGTATGCATATATATATATACACATGTATTTTCTGTGTATTTACACAGATTTTTCTACACTATTCCATCCCAGTGGACTATCATCTCAAGCTAATGTTGTCTGTCTTAATTATAATCACTGTACAGCAACTCTTGAAATAGCTATTATAAATTGCCCAATCTTATTCTTTTTTGGCTATTCTATGTTCCTTGACTTTCCATAAATATTGAAATCAGCTTATCAACTTTTCCAAAAAAGCAGGCCGAGATTTTGATTGGGATCATACCAAATCTAATTAATTTGGAGAGAAATACCATCCTAAAAATACTGAATCTTCCAATCTACCAACATGGTACATCTTTCTGTTCATTTTCATCCTTCTTGGTTCCCTCTTTAATGCTTTATGGTTTTCACTGTACAGTTCATAAACATCTTTTGTTTCATTTATTTTTAAGTGTTTAATTGTAAGCTATTGTAAACAGACATTTAAAAAACTTCTTTTCCAGTTGTTCATTGATAGGATACAGAAATACAGCTGATTTTGGCACACTGACTTTGTATCTTGCTGCCTTGCTACATCCATTTATCATAATGGCTTTTTGTTTTGGTAGATTCCCTGGAGTTTTCTATATATACAATCATTTTGTCTTCAAATAAACATAATTTTATATCTTCCTTTTTGATCTATATAACTTTTACTTTTGTCCTTGCTGTTTCATGGCTAGGACAACCAGTATAGTGTTGAAACGAACATGAGAGCAGACAATTTGGTCTTATCCCTGAGTTTTGGTAGAAAACATTCAGACTGTAACCAGTAACCATGCAGTTAGCTATTAGTTTTTTCCTAGGTATCCTTATAATTTGCTTTAGGACACATTTGTTCTTAGTTTGCTGTAATCTTTTGTCATAAATAGTGTTGAATTTTTTGCAGATGCTTTCTCTGCTTTTATTTAAAATGATACTGTCTTTTTTCATTCTATTTTTAGAGTACATTACATTGATTAATTTTCAGACATTAAACCAACCTCACATTCTAACTTGCTGAATATTATTTTTTCATCATGAGTGGGTGTTGGATTTTGTCAAATGCATATTTTACACCAACTGAAATAACCATGTGTTGTTTTCTTCTTTATAAATAACCTTGACTGATGTTTTTTTAAAACGTGTTGAATGAACTTTGTGTTCTCAGGAAAAATTCTAACTGGTGACATATCATATGTTGATCCAGTTTTTGAAGATTTAATAAGAATTCTTACATCTATGTTCATGAAGAATATCAGTCTTCAGTTTTCTTGAGATGTCTTTGTCTTGTCTGGGGATCAATTTTTTTGTTTTTTGTTTTTTTAGCACTGAGGTTTGAATTCACGGCCTTGCACTTGCTAGGTAGGTGCTCTAATACTTAAGCCAGAGCTCAGCCCTTTTTGCTCTAGTAATTCCTCATACAGAGTCTGATGTTTATGCCCAGGCTTGCCTGGACACACCCTCCTACTTATACTTTCTGTGTAGCTAGGATGACAGACACATAAACACCAAGCCCAGCTTTTTGATGGCTGAGATGGGATCTTGCAAACTGTTTGCCCAGGCTGACCTCAAACCACCATACTCCCAATCTTTGCTCCTGAATTGCTACGAATACAGGTGTGAGCCACCATACCCAAATTGGGATCACTTTTTTTTTTTTTTAACGGTACAGGTGTTTGAACTCAGGGCCTCCACCTTGAGCCACTCCACCAGCCCTTTTTTTGTGATACTTCTTTTTTTTTTTGAGATAGGGTCTTGTGAACTATTTCCCTGGGCTGGCTTCAAACTGTGATCCTCCTGATCTTTGCCTCCTGAGTAGCTAGAGTTACAGGAGTGAGCCACCTGCACCCGGCTAGGGATCACTTTTAAATGGCCTAACAAAATGAGTTAGAAGTGTCCTCCATTTTCTGAAAGAGTCTGTGTAGAATTTGTGTCATTTTACTGTGTTTGACAGAGGTGTCCTGAGAGGTCATGTGAGCCTGGAATTTCCTTTGTGGGAAGGTGTTAACGACAAATTCAATTTCTTTGGTTAGTGAGTGGCTATGCAAGTTTTCTATGCCTCCTGTGTTGAGCTTGCTAATTTGGCTCTCTTGAGAATTCTGTCACCTTCATCTCAGTTCTGTGCCATCCTTCATTGCTATAATGTTGTATGCGATGCTCCCTTTTTGTCTTTTTGATTCTCATAGGATCTACTGCAATGCCCTGGCTTTCACTCCATTATGGGTAATTTAGTGCTCTCTCTCTTTAGCTTTCAATCAGTCCAGCTAGAGGTTTAAAATTTTTATTGGTATCTTCAAATAATAAGCTTTTGACTTCAATGATTTTTTTTCTGTGATTGTCCATTTTCTATTTCATTGATTTCTGCCTTTTTTGTCTTACTTCCTTCCTTCTACTTATTTTAGAATTAATTTTTTCTTCTTTTGCGAATTTCTACAAGTCAGAACTCAAACCATTCATTTAGATCTTGCTCCTTTCCTGAACTAATAATTTTAGAGCTATAAGTTTCCTGCTAAATATTGCTTTGTCTACGTATCTTAGTGATTTTGTGCTGCTGTAACAAAAGAACTGAGACTGGCAATTTATGAATAGCAGAAATTTATTTCTCATGGTTTTGGAGGCTGGGAGTTGCAGATCAGGGTGCCAACAGGTTTGGAGTTGGCTGAAGGCTGCTTGCTCTATGACTCCAAAATGGCAGTCTGTTGCTGTAATCTCTGGAAGGGACCCACACTGTGACCTAACATGCCTCATGGGACAGAAGGGCAAATCGCCTAGGTTAGCTCCCGTCAGCCTTTTAATAAAGGACTGTTCCACTCATGAAGGCAGAGTCCTCATGATTTAATCACTTGACCAAAAAGTCCCACTTGTTAACAGCACCATAAGGGAGATTAAGTTTAAGTAAAATTTGGTCTTAGTTTTTAATTTATGATACCCACTTGTAAATGTATCTCATATTTAAGAGCTACACTTTAAAACATGAAGACATTGCTAAATTGAAGGAAAATGACTATAAAAAGACATATAGGGAAATGGTGAGATTAAAAGACTGAAGTGAAAATATTAAAATCTGATCAAATAGATTTCAATAGAAACATACTTCCAAACATTTCATAATGATAAAGAACCAAATCATCAGGAATATATGTCATAAATGTGTCTGTGCCATCCTAATAGAATTTGATAATATATGAATCAAATTTGACAGAATTAAAGGGAGAAATGAAAAATTCTACAATCATAGGTAAAGTCATTAACACTTTCAGAAATTGATAAAACAACCAGATTTTTTTAAATCCACAAAAAACTTAAATCTGAACAATATTACAACCTAACAGTAAAATAATCACAACCCTGTTTGTTGGGTGAAACTCTGCTCTCTGTTCAGATTTTCTGACTTCAGCTGAAAGCTGAGTTCACCATCTCTTTCACTTCCAGAATCCTCAACATTGCCTAGTTTCCTTCAGATTCATTCTGCTGTTTCCCCGGCTATGAAGAAGACTACAATATTTCCAGGTTATGATTCCCCAGTCTTTAGACTAATTCTTCAGACTGGGAACTCACTTACTACACATCCTTCCCTCCAAATGTGGTCTCCAACCAGAACCTGCATGCTCTGCCCGCTCTCCACCATGTACAGGTGCTACTTTTTGTATTCTATTGTAAAGGATTTGCAAAATTAAAATGCAATGGATTTCTAGAGGTAAAACTCAACATGGATCTGTCACTATAGATCTATGATTTGTGCCTTTTGTCTAATTTCACAAATGCAGTAATTCTGATACCAAGGTATTTGCTAAATCACCACAATTGGAAATATTACTGTTCTTCTTTGCACAAAAACATATTAATAACATTCACATCTTCATTTAATCAAAATTAGGTGAAAACTAATTAACAAATGTGAAGTTTTAAAATTCCAACCCAATTTGCTATACTTACCTAGCTCCCAAGATATCCTTCTTGGCAAGGCCTATTCCAGCTATTACTTTCACCCTCACAATTCGTGAATTTTCCTAAAATACAAAAAGTTTATATTTTATTTTCACGTACTTATAACTTAGCTAAGACAAAAGTAACAAAGGTATTAAAATTACAAGAATCCTTTTTCAAGAATTAATTTGACTAAAAGCTACATAAAAGAGAAACTACTATTTGCAGATGTCTTGATTATCTACAAAGTTAAAAAAAAGTCAAATTATCACACTGAGTAAGAATTTATCATCACTTATGAGAAGGTGTAAAGACAAAGTAATGGATCTAATATGAATTTCTGATTATTGTTATGTACAAAACTAAAGCTTCATAATCACTGATAACAATTACTTAGAAAAGGTAATCATTTTAAAGATTCAATTGAATAGTCTATAGACAATGCCATACTGTATCGATACTGTAACAAACCAAACATTAAATGTCTTGGATATCCCAACAGTATGAGATTTTATATAAGAATATCTTAGTTTTAAGAGATACACATCACAGTATTTAGGGATAAAATGTCATAAAGTTTGTAACTAACTCCAAAATAACTTAGAAAGTAAAAAGTTGAGTGTATGTGTGGGGGGAGGGTGTAAATAAACAAAATGTTACCCACCAAGCTGTGGGTCCAGTTTTGGGTTTACAAGCATGCACTTTACTACCCTTTTAACTATCCTGTACATTTGAAATAGTTCAAAATAAAAAAAAAGAGTAAGAAAATACTATAAGACAAAACACATATTTAAAAAATTAAAAGTAAACAAAATATGACAGGAAAAAAATTAATAAGAAATGCAAAATAAAACCTCCATGGGTAAAGTTGAGGAACATAAGGAAAACAAATAAATGGAGAAAGTCACTGCTTGAGGATGGAAATGTTTAATATTATTAGTTTGTCTGTTTTCTCCAAAGTAACTTGTAAATTCAATGCAATTCCAATTCCCCCTCGACTTTTTTCCATAGATCTTAACAAATGATTCTAAAACTCACAGAGAAGAGTTGCACCTCCAGCATTCAGCTTCTTTGTAAGCAATTAAACAAGCAGTATAGCATTTTACAAAATCAACAAATAAGAAATATTGCATCCTAACAGCAGGCTGACTGATTCTACTCTACAACTATTCAAGTGGTAAGTAATAGCTTGTGTTCCCTTCTTGAGGACAGGTCTGAGTGGGAGAAAATAAACATATCATATTTATTTCAACCTTCATCCACTTCTACAGACTTACAGCCATGCTTATTCCTGGGGATTTCACTAAATAAATGATAATTGGGATTATTCTATTAGCTTCAAAATTCAGATGGTAGATTAAGATAATATTTTTTTAAAAACCTTGACTAGAGAGGCTAATTAAAATATAACTTTCCTTCATCATCAAATAAAATTAAACACATAGCTGATCTTGCCACAAGAAAATCCTCAGGTATCAGAAATAAAGACAGAATTGGAAACCAGGAAAGAAAAGAGGTGTGTTGAAATTTCAGCTTTCTGTGGTGATTTCTAAAATCTGAAGATGGTTATTGATCACCCTTTTTTCTGACAGGTCACAAAATAAATAGGACAACTGAAGTATCCCTTGGCTCTGACAGCCAAACTCTCGCTTTTCTGGTTGATAAGGAAGGAGCTATACTATTTTAAATATGTATAAAATCTCCTAGACTGACTTCTGACAATTAAAATTTTTTTCAGTGATGACTTAATTAACAAGTGAAAACTTACAAGTAAAGTATAATCAAAATGACAGTGGCAAATAAAATTATTTATCTCTTCTAAGCTCGTTGTTTGTGACTCACATATAACCTTACTTGAGGTAAGAAGAAATTCAAATGGCCAGAAAACACATGAAAAAATGCTCACCATCTCTAGCAATAAAGGAAATGCAAATTAAAACCACGCTAAGATTCCACCTCACCCCTGATAGAATAGCCATCAACAGCAACACCACCAACAACAGGTGTTGGCGAGGATGCGGGGAAAAAGGAACCCTCTTACACTGCTGGTGGGAATGTAGACTAGTACAACCACTCTGGAAAAAAATTTGGAGGCTACTTAAAAAGCTGGACATCGATCTACCATTTGATCCAGCAATACCACTCTTGGGGATATACCCAAAAGACTGTTACTCCAGAGGCACCTGCACATCCATGTTTATTGCGGCACTATTCACAATAGCCAAGTTATGGAAACAGCCAAGATGCCCCAGCACTGACGAATGGATTAAGAAAATGTGGTATCTATACACAATGGAATTTTATGCAGCCATGAAGAAGAACGAAATGTTATCATTCGCTCGTAAATGGATGGAATTGGAGAACATCATTCTGAGTGAGGTTAGCCTGGCCCAAAAGACCAAAAATCATATGTTCTCCCTCATATGTGGACACTAGATCAAGGGCAAACACAACAAGGGGATTGGACTATGAGCACATGACAAAAGCGAGAGCACACAAGGGAGGGGTGAGGATAGGTAAGACACCTAAAAAACTAGCTAGCATTTGTTGCCCTTAACGCAGAGAAACTAAAGCAGATACCTTAAAAGCAACTGAGGCCAATAGGAAAAGGGGAACAGGAACTAGAGAAAGGTAGATCAAAAAGAATTAACCTAGAAGGTAACGCACACGCACAGGAAATTAATGTGAGTCAATGCCCTGTATAGCTATCCTTATCTCAACCAGCAAAAACCCTTGTTCTTTCCTATTATTGCTTATACTCTCTCTACAACAAAATTAGAAATAAGGGCAAAATAGTTTCTGCTGGGTATTGGGGGGGGAGAGGGAGGGGGCGGAGTGGGTGGTAAGGGAGGGGGTGGGGGCAGGGGGGAGAAATGAACCAAGCCTTGTATGCACATATGAATAAAAAAAAAAAAACAAAAAAACCATCCCTGTAGTCTCAACAGAAACATTTCCCAGTCTCCTAAAGGAAAATGCAAAAATTAATTAATTAAAAACAATTCTGGGGAATTATAAATTAATCAAAAAGACATTTAACTTTTAAACTATCTACTTGCAATTTCCACCCCCAAAATTAGAATTACTTATTTCAAATGCAAATTCAAATTACAGATTTTTTCATAAAATGGAAACACAGGAACGTAAAACAGGTTCTGTTAGATTGGATACCAGTGGGAGGGGTGGAGGCCAATGGGGAGGGTGAGGAAGGGTGAGGATGGACTGTATATAATTGAATGGAAACAGAACAACAAAACCTGTTGAAATCATTTTAAGTAGGGGGGAGGGAGATGAGGGAGAATGACAGAGGTAACCAAGGTACATTGTAAGCATATGTGGAAAAGTCACAATGCAACCGCCATCTGGGTACAACCAATGTGTGTTAATAAAAATGTTTTTAAAAGGTTCTTTCATAAAATTAAATAAGAAAGGTCACTTATTTTCATATCTGCATTCACATTTACTCCCCTTTATAACTTTATGCTAGAAAATGGTCAAAAGTAGTCTTTTTGATTGCATCCGTGTCAGGGGTCTTGAAATCTCATGTCATCTTTGAAAATGGGGAGCAGTGTGAATGCTGCAACTAGAACCAAAATGCAATAGTTTTAGAATTATAATTCTGGTTAGATAAAGATGGGTTCTCTTACCCCTTCCCTGTTAAAGTCCTATCTAAGCAGAAGCCTTTGCAACCATTTAAAAATGCAGGGGTGAGTTGGCAGAGAGATGGTGATGTTAATTGGGAATAGGAATACTGACCATCATTACTCTTGAAAAGACACGTATTGGTGAAGGAAATATATAATGAAAACAGCTTTCAAGGATATGACATCCTGGCAATTTGTGCTTCACTTATTAAGTGTTTTGGAAATTTTACATTATATTTTTTCTTTTTAAAAAAAAGAAAAAGTTCTATCCTTTCTTCAAAGCCCAAATGCCGTATTTTCTAAAAGCCTTCCTAGTTAAAATCACTCTTCTCACTGTGTCGTTCACACAGCGTTTAAGCCACATACGATCTTGTATCTGAAGTGAAGATGCAAGTGCCTTTCTCCACCACAAACACTGAGATTCCAAAGTCCAGGAAACCTCTCTCTTCATCATCCTTCAACCTCCCAAAGAACCCAGCAGAACACGGGCGCATAGTAGGGCTGACAGACTCCTGATGGACCCAAACCTTTCTGAAGCAGCTGACAGTAACACTAAGTCACCTTATTCAAAGCCCAGAAAAGGTCCACCCAGTGAACCCCCAGGGCCTCCCCCACCTTGGCCCAAGAACACTGGCTGTCACACCTGAACCCAGCACAAGAAGACTGCTACCCAAGGGAAAAAGTATGCAATCGACACCCACACGTGAGAATCCCACAGTGAAACAGCAGGTGGAGACCATGCCATTGTGACTCCACAGGACTTGCCACTCCTGCAGAGGATGCATGCCACTAAATAAGGGAAGAAGCTAGGAAAAGGGAAGACAAAGAAGAGTTAGGGGACAGTGGAGAACTCCAGGTCACAGATGATGACGACACAGCAACTGTGGAGAACAAGGGTGCAGATGGAATGAGGTGTAGTGAGAAATGAATAGCGTTCAAGGAAATGAATAGCGTTCATTGTGGTAGTATGTGTGCACATACATACACACCCACACATATACACATACACACACACACACACTACACACATATACATACATATCACTGCATTAAGTGCTTTTGATGCTCTGTTTGCAATTAAATTTGTGATAAACAGAAAACAAAAGCAAACAAACATATGCAATAAGCAATCACAAACACGGAGCAAAGATCCAGATGGAAGTAAAACTATTTATATAGTGTGATAGATAACGTAAACACTGAACTCTATTTTCTTTTGGCAGCACTGGGGATTGAACTCAGGGCCTTATGCTTGCTAGACAGGTGCTCTACCACTTCAGCCAGTCATTTTTTGCTTTTAGTTATTCTTCAGACAGGATCTCATAGTTTTGTCTGGCTTCAGACCTCGAGCCTCCTACCTATGCCTCCTGCATAGCCAGGATTAGGATGTACCACTACACCTGGCTTATTGGTTGAAATGGATCTCACATCTTTCCATCCAG